TGCGAAAACATTGGTGAATGCCACAAATTCTCCTAAATCACTCGTACGCACAACTTAAGAACAAATCTGTGCGTACGAATGGTTTTTGCATGAGGCCCAATGTTCCTGAAGTCAAACCTCTAACCTGCTGACTGGAGTCTGAGGAGCTCGTGAGTTTGGTTTCGTTTCTCTGATCACTGTACGGTCTGAACTTGGGTGGGAAGAATTTACTGTTGTTCAATCCTGGAAACATTTACAGACGTCTTAAATCTTTAAAACTTGGGAAAAATCTTTTTTTTTGTACAATACTAGACTCCAAATAGTTTTATAATAAATTATTTCCAGCTTCTTCTCTAAAGTCGTTGCTGATGTGTTCCTGCCTTGGCACACAGGTGTGTGCTTCAGCTTTTATAGAAGTGATGATCAGGTAATCAGTTCTTCTGATCAAGCTGAACAGCTTCGACTAAATTTTTATTTTAAGGAGGCTGAACATAATTTAAATCCTTCTTTTTCACATGTAAATCCTTCAGTTGGGGTCTATATACAGTAAAACTGCAATGCTTTAGCCTGAATTCCTCCTTATTGTAACTCCACAAGCCCCGCCCTTTTTCTGGGGCGTGTCTCAGATCAACTCGTTTTGATGCTGTCTCTTTAAATCCAAATGAGGCTCTTCACACCCCACCCCCTCCAGAGCTTCCAGAGCAGTTTATTCTAGTTTGATAGAGGAGTTCACAACTATGTAGAAGTGCAGAAACTTATTATTTATAAATGAATTAAAAGCTGTCAGTGTTGTATAAAGCACCTCAAAATGATACTTGAGTAAAAGTATAAGTATCTTATCATAAAAATACTTTGGTAACAGTTAAAGTCTTCTCTAAAAATATTACTTGAGTAAAAGTCTTAAAGTATCTGATATTTTTTGTACTTAAGTATCAAAAGTAAATTTTTGACACAAAATATACTGAAGTATTAAAAGTAAAAGTACTGAGTAAAAGTGAGCAGTTAGATTTTCCAAAATGACATTTATTGGGAGGTGACTTCTCAAAAAAATATTTTTTCTAACAGCGTGCAGCTGTGATGGGTTGTGTACAAGTTAATAGTGTGTCAGAAAGGTATATATTTATACTTCTCATCCAACCACAATTAAATTCACTCTATCCAGGAGACACTATTTATCAGGATAGTTTTTTTAAATAATAACAACTCGGAATAAAATAGGAGTAACGACTTTCTACTTCTTACCTTTTTAAAAAATGTAGTGAGTAGAAAGTACAGATAATTGTGTAAAAATGTAATGAGTAAAAGTAAAAAGTACGCTGAAAAATAATTACTCAAGTAAAGTACAGATAACAAAATTTCTACTTAAGTACAGTAACAAAGTCTTTGTACTTAGTTACTTTACAACCCTGAAAGCTGTCAACAACAGAAGACTTGTCCATCCAGCCTCACATGTTGGAGCCAGAGTCTGACCCTGAGAGGAGGATGAAGACCACTAAACTGTAGTTGGTAAGTCCAGACCTTGTGTGTCAGTTCCATCATAAATAATCTGACGTAATATTATTACACACCAGGCATTTAAGAAAACTGACCGGGCTGAAAAATCAGACCCAAACAGAATATAAAGATATTTTTGCAGCACCAGAGACTAAATTAACTAACGACTAACTTTTCTGTCTCTTAGAGACTACAACATGGTGGTATTATCGTGCAGAACTCACGTGAGAGAAGTCCACAACAAAATGTTGTGGACAGCTGGCAACAGCTAAAAAAGTGGATTTTGCACATCCTCTGGAGCTGTCTTAACTTTTCGGGAGATTGGGAGTCATATTTTGATAACTTACTTTTACAATTAAGAGCTTAAAATTTCTTAGACTTGTTCCTACTCTCAGACTGAAGTCTAAAACTCCACTCTAAGAAGTTTGATAAATACGGGCCCAGATCAGTTTTATGGTTTCCTGACATGTAGAACCCTATATCAACAGAGGGTGAACTTTAATTTCACCATGACTCTACAATGGTTGGGATTACTGCTTACCTTTTCAACTTTGTGACAACGGATGAGTCCATCTTGTCCAATGTAAAAAGTAGAGAAAGCATCAAACGACCTGTAAGAATTCACATCAACAATAAAGATTATGAAGTAAAATCACTTTAAAACCAAAGATCTGCACGTGTTTTTATTAGACAATTAAATAAAGCAATTTAATGAATAATAAAAGCTACAGAGATCTAAGCACTAGGTTTATATAAATGTCAGAAAACAAGAATTAGGAGTATTCTGAGAGTAGATGAGTTTTAACCAGTTTAGGTAGGGGCAACGATCTGGACCATCTCTTACCTGTACAGCTGAGATTTGTCTTTGCGGAAAAAGTACAACATAACAGAATGCATGGGCAGACCTCGGATCCTCCAGCGGGCCTTAATGCTCCTATCCTCCATGTGCTTGGTGAGCTTCAGTACATCCAGCCGAGCCTCGGCGTAGTAACACAAACACAGGAAGCGCCACACGGCGAGTATGAGGCGGTACGTCGTGAGACCCCTGCATTAACAGAGACGACAGGCGTCTAGAAGCTTTGCTCAGAGAAAACCTATTAAATATAATCTCAGGCTGAACGTGCATCACCTGGTATTGACGTTTATCAGGCCATTTATGAATTCCATGTTGTCTGAATACATGTTGAAGTCGTGGTTTTTCATAAAGAAATTTGGAAGCTGCAAAACAAGCAGAAAAAAACATTGCCTAAATAAAGTGAAACAGCATCTTTCAGATTTCCACAGCTTGCCCTGTAATCCTGTGTTGGGTTGGAAGTGAGAAGCAGGCACTAGATCCTGCCTAGGCAAACTTCTGATGCAAAAAAGTTGCACTTTTTATTTATTTTTATTTATTTAGTTTGACATTTTACTTCAGTATATGAGCAGATGTTTTCTAGCACACTGAAGGAAATGTTGTGACCAGTGGTGGGCAATGCTAATCTAAAAATTAGCTCCACAATTTCTAAAGTGCTTATGTCATAGAAAAACTAGCAGAAGCAAATTTTAAAGCGCAAATTCAATTTGACACTTACTAAATGGCAATAACTCATGTACAATATATGTACAACACTGCCAACTAGTGGTGTATGAATTCTTTTACAGCTTATTCCTACAACTGCTGATTGCTGGGATGTGTTAGCTCCTGGTGTAAAAATTAAAAAGTTGTTGAGGATTGCTAGTTCGGCTGATTCTTTAAAAAGTTGTTGAGGATTGCTAGTTCGGCTGCTTCTTTGTCTTTTTCTTTTTGTTGTAGATTTTTCATTAAAGAATCATGAATAAAGTCATTTTAAAACTGTTTATTGGAAAACTGAAGCGATGCATTCTGGGTACATGACATATTTGATTTGTGACGGCCTGACAGGAAACGAAAGCACAGAGTACAGGAAACTCTTCACTTAAAAATAAGAGCATGGATTTTAAAGTTTTCCATTTTTTTGTCGCTCCAATTGACCACTAGATGTCTGTCTTCATCAGAATAACATCTTTAAATCATTTCTGCGTCCCTTCAGCTAACCCCGTTGGCCGATTGTTTCGACCAATTACATCAAGTGTTGAGCTCCAGCGTTTAAACTTTTTTTGTTTTGTTTTAGAAGGAGCTCTGATTGTAAAGTAAAATAAATCAATACATACACAATTTTAGTGTGGATTACAAACGTTTACTGTTTTTGCTGGGACAGAAAGTGTCACCCGGTCACATAGTTCTAACCATTGCCTTCCTGCTACGTAAGCAGACACAAAGCATTGTGGGAAATATCTGTAAAATGAGAACCGTGGCCGAAAACAACAGTCTTCAAGGATGTATACCTTCCCAATAAGTGTGTTTATCTGGGAGGGGTGCTGTTGGATAGATGTGTGTTGCGATTCGGCAGCCTTACCTTCCGCTTTTCAAGATAATGATGACTGGTAGATAATTAGTTATTAGCGTTACTGCATTTTTATTTTTAGAAAGTGCAAAATCCGCTTATGAATTATAAAAATTAGTAAGACCACTAAAGCGCAAACGAAATATTTAGGTCCGCAATTAGCGGAGTTGTGCTTTAGCGGGCTGGTGCCCACCACTGGCTGTGACTGATTAACTTAATGTTTGACAGAGTCTTGTGTTTTTACACTTTCTGATCATTGCAGCCATATCGTTTAAACAGAGGAACAGAGTCAGTGTGTATTTTCAATATGAGGCCTTTCTGTCTGCTTATACAAAAGTTGATTACGTTTTAGTGTATGATGTAAAGGGTACCACCTCCAGGGCTGTAACCAGGAAATCAGACATAGGTTAAAAGGTTGATTCATCATTATTCATCAGTTAGTGCAGTCTCTTAGGTCGTATTCACACCTGATAGTCCGGTAGACTCGGTTCGATTGGGGACCAAAACGGCAAGCCTTGTTTGCATTTTCTGTTGGTGCGGTTTGAATTCACACTGCACTTTCTCAACCAAACTAAACCCTGAAACCAACCTGTTCCCGCCCTCACCTGTGGGGGCGCTGCACCAAGAACCACTGAAGAAATCAACATGAAAACCTCAGAAGAAGATATGGAGCGCAGCTTCCTTCTCCACAAAATGTAAACAAACAATAGTAACATTACAGTTGAGCAGTTATAGGGTTTATTTTTTGTTTTTGGCAAATGTGCTAAACAAATAGTCCTCAACAATGAGCTCAGCATGAGAGGAAGATGAGGCGGAACCACGGAGAATGTAGTTTTGCACACAAGGCGGCTGAAGCAGCTCCGTGTAAAGGGCTCGACACACGGGATAACGACGTCGCTCGCTCTCCATTCATTTCCTATGGAGCCTGTGCGGTGAGGCGACAATCTCTTGCCCTCCTCCAGCTAAGCGACTGGCGAAAATAGTGCATGTGAAATTTCACGCTCGTACACATAAACGTGCACACGCGAGCTTGCGAACATATGAAAGTTGAAAAATGTTGAACTTTTGTCGCTGTCGCTTAGCGTACAACCAATCAGCGAGGGTTTCATTGACTGACCAATGAGAGGAGAGTATGCTACACACTGCAGTTAGCTAACACTTTCACCAAGTGATTACTAAAAAGCTTTGTGGGAATTTATTGGCGCCAGGGTGAAGTTTATGGTAAGTTTTTCCTCATAAAACTGTATCTTGATGTGTGTTTGTTTTTCAATATCATTAGCATCGCAAGATTTGTTTAGTTTACACGTCCGTAATGCACACCCGCCTTCAGAGTCAAGAACCAATCAAATTTTGTGAAGACAAGCGACCTGAGAGCGCAATTCGCAACGCTGCGATCGCTATTGCGTCCCGTGTGTCAGGTTTCACCCTGACTGCGATGACAGCCATTAATCGCTGTAGTTTGTCGCTCCCCGTGTGTCGAGCCCTTTAATCGAGCAGGAGCACGTCCAGCTCCACAGTCATGATGTCCACCTTATACAGTCGTCCAGCGAGGTATTTACACCGTATAAGTAAATTTATTACTGTTATTACTCAGAATGTCATGCGGTATAGTCCACTTCCTGCTTCTGGAGCGGTCTCTGGTCCACTTAGCGTTCACACATGCAATCGAACCGCACCAGAGTTCATTTCAATCGAACCGAGACCTAGGTTTTCAGGCGGACCAGAGTTTGCTTTTTTGGTCCAAATCAGAGTTCGATTACGTGTTCACACCTCCACAAACGAACCAGACTTTCCAGACAAATGAACTAGAGTTCGATTAAATCGGACTAAACAGTGCAGGTGTGAATACGACTTTAGATTCAGCCTGGCACAGACACCAGCTGCTACAACATGTTATTGTTTGGTTTTGATAAGGCCAAGGCCTTTTCCACTCTGAGGCCTGCCGTGGGCCTGACTACAGTCAGACGAGAATAAAGCCTTTCTGGAAGAGGACCAACTGGTTTTCTGTCATTTTATTCAGACAAAGCTCTATTAAAGATCCTAATGTTTCATATTGTTCTTAACAGGACACTTCATTTTCATTCTGCAGGTTTACTTGTGGTTCCTAGAGTTTCTAAAAGTAGAATGGGAGGCAGAGTCTGTGAGGCTGACTACTTTTATGACTAGACTTTTACCCTTTACCTTTTGATAAATCCCATACTTAGGCTTGGTTTGGGTTCCCTATAGCTGGATGAGATGCTGACCACATTTCCTCACTCTGCTGTCTTTATTCAGACAGCTGCTCATCCTGAGCTTGGTTCTGTTGGGGGTTTCTTTATGCTGCTCAAGATGGAAGATTGCATCAAAATGCAGTTTCAACACAATTTGCTGGCTTCCTTAGATAAAAAATTATTTACAAATGGTCATTTTCTAATATACTAACTGAATGTAATTTATATATTATTATGAATGTCTTAAATTGACTGGAATTAGGTTAGTGTCTGAATCTATTTTGAATTTGAATTTAGAATTTGGAGGGGTTTTGTTGCAAAAGTCCTTAAAACGTATTTTGTCAGGAATTAGTGCTATATAATCAGATGTGAACTGATTATGGAGAAGACACGTGCTGTCATGTGTAGCACAGAGCCAGTAATTAGATTCCTGCAGCTCTTTCAGTGTCCTGCAGCCTCCCTGGCTCGGTCCTGTCTTTGGAGGGACGTCCAGCTCTTAATGCCACTGTTGTTCTAGATTTCCTCTACTTCTTCATGACTATTCTCCATGATCCATTGGATATTTAATGCTGAGGAAAATCTGTGTGTCCCTCTCTTGACTGATACCATTTTTAACAATAAGATCCGTTTGATGCTTTTGAGTCATCTGTGAACATCTGACATTAAACTGAGTAAACGTCAGGAAAATCCTGCTGTGACAACTGAACTTTATCCAGGTTGATCAGTCATTTTACCTGATAAAGTCAAAACATGCTTTAACAACTTATTGGTTTAAAAATGTTTGAGCTTCAGCAGCAACCATCTTATTGCATTTTTCTCTCATAAACGTGATAAAACTTGACTGAAACTTCAGTAACGTATAATTTTCTCTCACTCACTTCCTGGATTTGCTCTCCTGTGAAGTATTTTTGTAACATTCAAACTCATGCCTCTCTTGTATAACTCTATTTCTACTTTACACTGTTAAAACTAGTTTGTATACTAGTGGTCTTTGTGTCTTCTCATGCTTGCTGGTGAAGGTGTTACATCAACAGCTTTCATTTAGGGGGATTTTCTGGTTTGCTGTCAACATTATCCATTATTATCCAAAGGATAAATCAGAGCATTTTATGGATGTACTTTTATCACTGACAGAGCTACAGATAAAACCACATGCTTTATGAAATAAAGACTATTTTTCTCATAATCTGACATTGAACCAGACTGAACCTTTTGTGTTTTAGGTCAGTCAAGATGCCTTAAATTGTTTCTAATCGAGAGAGACCAAATAATGAGATAATGTTTTTTATTACTTACTTTAAAGTCACAGGTGAACATACACTGAGATTACTTACTGAGGGAACATCTCATAACATTAGAAAGTATGAGGGCCAAAATTAAGACTATTGCACAACCAGTGGTTGCTACATCCTGGTAGCAGAAGGCTGAATCTATCCCTAAACCAGCTACTGAGCTGATTAATGATAGGCACTGGTAACTGAGAAGGAGACTATTCATTTGAGTTAGCATCAGAGAGGCTAGTGACTAGCATGGATAAGCTAGTGTTAGCATTGGAGAGGCTAATGACTAGCATGCCAAGGCTGCTCGCCTACTTTATTAGACAAGT